ACCCCCGCCCAGCCTGACGAACGGCAAACAAATCACACAAGAACCAGCACCAGATGTGATCCAGCTGGCAAACTGCCTCTCCAGCCAATGAAGCCCGTAAATTACGGTAAGAGGAGAAAAAAACCCACACGCCGAGTCTCCCCAAATTGGTATAAAAGTCACATCATGTTAGCACCCCCCACCCCCCACAGGAGAGGCGGGAGTGGCAGCCCTGCCTCTGCTGCAGAACCTGGTCTGTGGGAGTTAGTAAGAATGCCCGAGGCCCGGCCCCCGTGGCTCACGCCTGTCATCCTAGCTGCTCAGGAGGCTGAGATCTGAGGACTGGGGTTCAAAGCCAGCCCGGGCAGGAAAGCCCATGAGACTCTTATCTCCAATGAATGGCTCGGAAAAAGCTGGGAGTGGGGCTGTGGCTCATGTGGTGGAGCGCTCGCTCGCCTTGAGCTGAAGAGCTGAGGGACAGCGCTCGGGCCCGAGTTCAAGCCCCAAGATAGGCAAAATAAACAAACAAAAAAAACCCACAAGAATGCTTGGATCCAGTAATGTCTGGGGGGATCCTAGGGTTCACCCCTCATCTTTGTGGACAGACACATTTGCAGATGCTTTTCCTCCTGAAGCCACCCCAGATCACCCCCTAGTCTCCCCAGAACCACACTGCCCAGTGAGCTGTCTGCCAGTGGCACTCACTGGGGTGCCTGGGCCTGGCCCTGGGGCACCCCATTTCTGCAGTGGGCCGTCCAGGCTGTGGGGCCAGCTCCCCGCGGGAACGGTACTTGCGGTGTGGAAAGGGACCGGCTCACACGGGAGGCAGCACTGACACAGACACACTCTGAGCCAGGCCAGGGTACAGGTCCGTGGGGGACCCCAGAGGCCCCAGGCCCCAAAGATAACCCAGGACACCTCCGTCGCCCTCGGTCCCTCCGGGAAGCCTGGCCAACACTGGTCTAGGGCTGACCTGGGCTTGTCACCAAGAAAAGCAAGGACATTCTAGACCAGGAGCAGGATGCCGGCGTGGAAGCGCGGGACAGCCCCGTGGGCGCTGGGTTCGGGAGACGCCCTGCCCTCTGCCGCCTCTCCCAGGAAGAGCTCATGCCTCGCCCTTCCCAGGGCCGCTTGTGGACTAGACCACCTGCTGCCCCACCCCCGTGTGACAGGGCGGGAAACTGAGGCGCAGGGAGGGGGGAGGAGTGGGAGAGCTGGGGCATAAACCCAGCCCCCCCCACCCAGGGCAGGCTTGTTCAACTCGCTACACAGTGCTCATGAAGAGGAGGAGGACGGCTGATTGCTCTACCGTTCCGGGGGACCAGGTCCCCGCCCCGCACTGCCCGGCAGGGTGGGGGCAGCAGGTGAGCGCTGACAGCTTTGGCACCAGCCCCCCCGCCGCCGCGCAGGGCTGCTGTGAGGGCAAAGGGCCTCTCCACGCATGCAGGGCGCGGGCGCCGCCGCTTACCTTGACCGTCTCCATCCAGCGAGGCTGCTTGACTTGGTAGTACACCACGGAGTGGTACTCGCTCATCGGCTTGTCCCCAGCGCCCACGCAGATGGCGTTCTCCCCAAGAAAGGAAACGCAGAGCGGGAACATCACGGAATGGCCGCTTCCGGAGCCTGGCTGACTTCGGTGCCAAGGCCCAGGCCCCGCGGCGACGCCGCCGGCTTCCCTCCCTCCGCCAGCTCCCTCCCACAGGGCAGATCTGCCCCCCAGCCTGACCACAGAGATCCAATGGCTTCCACTCTAGAAACTGCTAGAGCGTGCCAGGACTGGCAGTGGCAGCCTTACTGCACCCAGTGACCAGCCCGGGGTCCCCGCCGCCCGCCTTGTCTCTAGATGGGGAGACGTGTGCACACGGCCCAGGGCAGCCACGCGGCGCCACGGCTGATGCGTTTCTGAAGCTCTCACACCAAGCCCATGGGCGTGCCGGACGCAGGGGACAGCCCAGCTTCGGAGGACACCAGGGCCCTCACGGGCAGCAAGGCCGGGTGCGGGGTGTGTGGGAGGGCCGTGGAGCGACTTCCAGGCCCTGGTCCATGCTGGACGCCGAAGGCAGGGGCATGAGGTGGGAACAGAGCCCAGGAACACGCAGACTCGGTGGAGAGGACCGAGGACAGCCCCATCCGTGTGATGCTGGATGGATGGACAGACAGACCGGCAGATGGATAAACCTATGGACTGACGGATGGATGAATGGATGGATAGACAGACAGATCAACAGATGGATACACAGATGGACAGACAGACAGATGTACAGACAAATGGATGGACAGACATACACCTAGCCAGATGGAATGGTAACTAGAGGCTTACAATGCTGCAATGTGATGCCCGACAGACATGCAAATAGACAAACAGAGGGACAGACAGACAGACAGACAGGCAGACAGACAGATGGAAAGACACAGGGGCCCAAGGGAGGGTTGCAGGAGAGGCTTGAGGGGTAAGACTGAGCGAGACTGAGCTGTGTGTGAGGAGCGTGGGGGGCCATCTGCACAGACCACGTGGGGCCAGGGCTCCCGCTCAGAGCTCAGAAGGAGCTGAGCAGCAGGGAGCTGTCTTCAAACAGCACTTGCCAGCCCTGGGCGGCCCCCCCTCCCCCTCCTGCTCCCGTCCTCCCCTCCCCCTCCTGCTCCCGTCCTCCCCCTCCCTCCTCTCTCTCTCCTTCTGCCCCTTCCTCCTTCCCCCCTCCTTCACCTGGGCTGCCCTGGGGCTTTGCACACAGCGCCCATAGCCCCCCACCACTTCATTTGCACAGCCCCCCCCCCGGGACCACTGTCCTCATCCCTGTCCAACAGCTGGGTAAACTGAGGCAAGGCTGGCAGGACGGCCCGGACTCTCTAGCTCTTTGGCCCGGGGCCCTCCTGCAGCCCCCCCCGGCCTTCCTCACGCAGGAGTCTGGGGACTCTCCACCCCACCCCCGCCCAACGCCCCGGGACCACCCTGGGCACGGAAGCTCCCTCTTTCCCGAGGCTGCAGGAAATGTGGCTCGGTGTTGCACCAGGACGGCTTCGCCTGGGGCTGGGTTGCAAAGTGTGGTCACCAGCACGCGGGGCCAGGGCAGAGCCTGTCCGCCGGGCGTGGAGATCGGGCTGGCCCCCAGGCCTCAGGGGGAGGGGTACGGCCCCCTCGAGGGATCTCCGGCCAACCATCTAAGTTGAAGGCTGAGAACCACAACGCAGGCTCCTCACCCCAGCTCCCGGGGAGCTGGAGAGGGGATTTGGGGAGAATGAGGTCATCCTAGCTGCAGGGAAGTAAACGTAGGTGTGACTCAGGGGTGCCTGGCTAGCAAGTGAAGGGTCACAGTTCAAACCCCGGGGTCATTAAAAACAAAAACCAGAGCTGGAAAGCCACAGGAGAGGCTTCTGGGCAGGGCGCACAGCTAGGATCAGATCAGCGGGGGGGGGGGGGGGGGGGGGTCGGAGCCTGGCCGCCGGGGGCCCAGCATCCACAGTTCCTGCACCTGGCCTCCGGCACCCCGGCCTCCGGCACCCCGGCCTCCACAGCTCAGGCCTCCTCCCTCCCCCATCGCTGAGTGGTCACTGCCTGTCCGGTCCCTGTGCCCACCTCCTTATTCAACTCCAGTCTCTAAGGAACCAGCTCCCACCTCTGGTTTTAGAGATCAAGGGGAAAAGATTCCTGCAAGATCACACAGCTAATAGGAGAGGATCGGTGGATTTGAACCCTGCCTGTCCGACCCCAGAGCTCTTAGCCAGGTCCTGGGGACCCCCCCCCAGGATGCAGGGGCAGACCTCGTGCACAGGAGCGCTGTGCTTTTCCCACGGAACCCGGCTGTCACGGGGAGCTGGGGGAATGCTGCAGAGCGCTTCAGTAGGCGATGATATTTATTTCTGCAACTCTGGGGAGAGCTGCCTCCCCGGGCTTCCTTAGCAATTTTCAATAGTCAGTCACCTAAACTCCCCCATAATTTCCCCGGCGGATGGAACTGTAAATTCCCACCGTGCCCCGTCTCAGCCCCAGAATCCCCGCCTGTGCGCGCCGGCAGAGACGGCTGAGCCAGGAGCCTCAGCCTGGCTGCGGCTGGAAGAGAAGCCAGGCCGGCCGGGGAACGGCGCTTTCTCATTTGTCCTCGGGCAACGTGGAAGGCAGGCAAGGGTATCGATGTTTTAAAATGAGGCTGAGCTTCAAAAGTTCTCTGATCAGGAGGTAGCTGGATAAAAATAGCTTCAAAGCAATGGTCCATACATTCATGAGATGCAATCTGTCCTTTGGGATAAAGTCCCCTTGGACTCCTTTGTGCTCCTCTGAGCCAAGTAGTTTCTCCCTTATTTGAACTTTTCAGAAAAAGTTTCAGCATTAGCCATTAGTGGCCGAGCCAGAGGCTGGTGCTTTGTTCAAGGAGAGATTAATGAAGGGGGGGGGGTGTTCCATGGACAAAAAGGCAGTTACAGAAATGTCTTCAGATTTAAAAATAATAAAGAAGCATCCCAGAGCTCAATAGAAGAGGTTACCAGCCTCATTTTTAAGATGGAGATGAGATCGGGGAAGATTTTTTTTTAATAGACATCATGGTGATTTTTGTTGATGTTATTTTGTTTTGCCAGTTTGAGGGCTTAAACTCAGGGCCTGGGTGCTATCCCTGAGCTCAAGACCAGTATTCTACCTTTTTTGTTTTTTTTTTTAGTTGGTTGTGGGGCTTGAACTCTGGGCCTGGGCACTGTTCCTCAAGTGCTCTACCACTTGAGCCACAGCACCACTTCTGGTTTTCTGAGTGGTTTATTGGAGATAAGAGTCTCACAGACTTTTATGCCCGGGCTGGCTTTGAACCTTGGTCCTCAGATCTCAGCCTCCTGAGTAGCTAAGATTACAGGTGCGAGCCACCAGCACTGGCCCGGCACTCTACCATGTAAGCCTCAGCTCCACTCCCAGATTTGGGGAGTGGCTAATTGGAGATTTAGAGCCTTGTAAACATTTTTGCCTGGGCTGGCTTTGAACCACGATCCTCAGATCTCAGCCCCTCGGGTGGCTAGGATGACAGGCCTGAGCCACCAGCGAGCCCGGCTTTGGTGAAGTGTTTTAGGGTCCTGGGTCATTGGTTCCAATTGACAAGGGCTCTGCTTCACATCTGTCAGGGACGGAGTGACGGATGGGCCCCCGTCCCCTGTGGGTGCTATCTACCCCCCCCAGCTCCCAAGAGGGGGAGGACACCCCCACCCCACCTAGCTCTCCATCTTCCCAGGGGCCTAAGAAGAACTTGAGCGCAGGCTTGACTGGCGCTGACAACGCCTCCTTTTCAGCAGAGAGCCGGGAGAGGAGGGAGGGGGGAAGCGGAGCCTCCCACACGCTGGCCCGGGCTGCCGACAGCTCACAGGAAACAGGAGTAAATAGACGTAAACACGCATGACGGGACCGCGCAGGACATATGCTGTGGGAACAGAGCCGGCTGCTCTGCCTGCGTTCCCGACACACGAGCGGGGCTGCACCTCGCCGCCGGGGAGTGGGCGTGAGCGCGGGCGCTCGCTTCCTTCCTCGGCGGCCGCCCAAGGCTCCCCATGGGGGCCTGTGCCTGAGACACCAGCCGGCGTTCCAACGAGAACTCTAACTGCACAGCTAAACTACAGCAGATGCCAGACCAATATAAACATACATCTAAAGAGGAGGAGGGAAGGCGAGCGGGGGAGGAGGCGAGCGGGGGAGGGAGAATAGAAGTGGTGAAAAGGAATACACATTGGAGAACTGTTTGCCTGGGGGAAGAAAAAGAACAAGAAGTAACCTTGGTTCTCTCTTAATCAAGGTAGAGATCACGTGGCCACACACCACTCCCAACAGCCCCTGGCACTTAGAGAGCCAAGTCAGGGAGAAGCCACACACACACACACACACTCACACACACACACACACACACACACACACACTCACACACCCCGCCTCCGCTTACGGGCAGCGCCTTGCCATCTTCGGAACACACACACACGATCACCTCCACGTTCCTCTGCGAGGTCTTGTTGTACTTGTCGAAGTCACCTTGTAGGAGCGTGATGTAGATGTCATTTCGCACGTCTCCTGAGGACCAGAGAGGAAGAGGAGAGACTGGAGGGGGCCCAGGGGAGCTCGGGCCGGGTGGGGCGTGGGGGGGCGCCGTGAGGGGGGGCAGGGGGAGCGTGAGGGATCACGTAGAGGAGCGTTGGGAGAGGTGAGAAAAGGGGGTGCAGGGGGACATCGGCGCAGAAACGGGGGAGAAGGCCAGTCCTATATTGGCCATGTCTGTTTCTGCCCGTCAAAAATCGCTCAATTTCCATCCTGTGGTGACACCTGCTGGGCGGGGGAGGAATGGCCACCGAGGAAACACGGTGTCCCCAGATGGCTCTGTTCAGTGGAGTCCTGGGCCGGGCGGGCGCAGAGGGCTGGCAGGGAGGGGTGGGTGCCGGCAGCGTGGAGTGCTCTAGAGGCATCCGGACCTCCATCAAGCAGGAGCGGACGTCACAGCCCCACCCACAGCTGACCATCCACCACGCAACCGTGAGATCCGTGGAGGAGCCGGACAGGCCGGGGGTCCCCAGGGACGCCCACAGGCTTAACTTTTGAAGAAGAAATGACTGCAGGCTGAGGAAGGGCGTCAGCCCTCGTGAATGCCCCCACCCTCTGGGGAGTGGTGAATCCTCCCCACCCTCTGGGGAGTGGCCAATGCCACCCGTGTCCCGTCTGCCACCTGAGTACTTTATGCCAGTGTGGATTGTCCAGGCAACAAAAGTCCTTTATAAAAATGATTCACAATCTGACAATCTGCTTTCCCCTCAACCCGGGTAGAACATGTGGTTAGAGCCGGGCACTGGTGGCTCATGCCTGTAATCCTAGCTACTCAGGAGGCTGAGATCTGAGAATCTCGGTTCAAAGCCAGCCCGGGCAGGAGAGACCGTGAGACTCCTATCTCCAATAAACCACCAGAAAACCGGAAGTGGCGCTGTGGCTCAAGTGGTAGAGCGCTCGCCTTGAGCTGAAGAGCTGAGGGACAGCACCCAGGCCATGAGTTCAAACCCCACGACTGGCAAAAAAAACAAAAACAAAAACATGCGGCTAAAAACGGTGCCTAATGCACTTCTGGGCTGTACACCAGGCCACAGAGTCTGTGAGACACAGAGTCGGCGTCCTGAGCGAACTGTGATCCCGGGGTGCATGTGTGTGTCTATTTTCAGGGGCAATACATGTGTGTGTTTGTCTTGTGTGTGTGTCTGTCTTGTGTGTATATCTGTCTTGTGTCTATTTTCGGGGTGATGCACTGTATGTCTGTGCTGTGTCTTCTTTCAGGGGGTGCATGTGTATGTCTATTTTCGGGGTGATGCACTGTGTGTCTGTGCTGTGTCTATTTTTGGGGGGTGCATGTGTATGTCTAGTTTCGGGGTGATGTACTGTGTGTCTGTGCTGTGTCTGTTTTGTGAGTGCAAGCTTTCAGGCATGCAGGTGTGGCTCTCAGTGGTGGTATTGAAGGAGGGGCAGAGGGAAGGTGACCGTTACAGAGAAAAGGGATTGTAGGAGCGGGAGAGCGCCCCTCCCCCCCCCCCGGGGACAGACACGGCCTCCCCCGGACCCCACCTGGCATGATGATCTCGGGAAAGCCCAGCTTCCGGGCCACCACGGTGGTCCTGTCCACCAGGTGCGGGTAGTCCTTGCGGATCTGCGTGAGGTCGCCCACCAGCATCTTCATGGTCACCCACAGGCCTGCGGGGGGAGGGGGCACTTCCTCAGGGTGTTCTCGGCCCGCCCCCTCTCCCCGCCGTCTCCCCTGGCTCTGCCCCGGGCCCCGGCGGGCCAGCACAGGCTGCCCCCCACCCATCTACCAGGGCTGCAAGGGTCATTTAGGAAAGGCCTGGCCCCCAGTGCCAGCTCCGGCCCCTCGTGGGGGCTGCAGGGGGCAGGGGGTGCATCCCAGAATTCCCAGTGGTCTGTGGGAAGGAGGGGACCGTGATCTGTCTGCAGAGTGGCCTGCAGAGCGGCGGGGGCTGGAGGGGCCGCTCACCCTGCCCGCCGCTGTCTCCTTTAGAGGCCGTGACTTTGCCCAGCAGGCTGTGCAGGAAGTCATTCTCAGCTGTGACCCTGGAAAGCAAGGAGACAGACCTACACACGGTGTCCCGTGGGGTCCCCAGCCCCTCCCAGGCCTGGAGCAGAAAGGAAGCCTGCCCGTGCCAAGTCCTGCCAGCCGTGGGAGCCTTCCCCACGGACCAGAGCTCTGCTGGTCCTGGGCATCTGCCCCCCTGGGGAGATGCACATGGGGGAAGGACCCGAACCCCAGGCAAGTGGGGACCCCTCCGCTGCACCCCAAGTCCTAACCAGAGAGGCTGGTCAGGTGGGACACCCAGCGGCCCCCGGCGTGGCCAGCGGCCCCTTTCCCCAAGTCTGCATTGGAGAGGAAAGGACTCCTCACTCCTAAAGCACGGGGCCGGCCCCGGGAAACCTGACAGACACACTCCTGGGGCCTGACACACACCCTCACGCAGAATCCTCCATCTTCTGCTGATTGTGTGTAGCTGTCTAAAGTAGAGGCTCCAGAACAAGGCCTGGTGACCTCGCTCACCATGGCTGCCGCCCCCCCGCCCGACACCCCCTGTCCCCGGCACTGGGAACACACCAGCCCTGCCAGGCTGAACAGGTGGACATGCCAGGGTCATGAGCCACTGTGGCCCTCCTCCCTGCCTCCTCCCTCCTCCCGCTGGCCTCTGCCTAGCTCAGGGCAGCTCCAGGAGAAGGGCGTGGCCTGTGGAAAGGGTGTGGCTTGAGAGGGTGTGGCTCATGAGAAGGGAGTGGCCTGTGAAGGGGGCGTGGCTTTTGTGTGGTCCGTGGGAGTGTGGCCTTGCAGAGGGTGTGGTCTGTGGGGAGGGCGTGGCCTGTAGAGAGGGCGTGGCCTTGGAGATGGGGTCTTGTGGGTGTAGCCTTGAGGAGGGCGTGACCTTGGAGAGGGGTCTTGTGGGTGTGGCCTTAAGGAGGGTGTGGCTTGTGGAGAGGGCGTGGCCTTGGAGAGGGGGTCTTTGTGGGTGTGGCCTGTGGAGAGGGCGTGGCCTTGGAGAGGGGGTCTTGTGAGTGTGGCCTTAAGGAGGGTGTGGCTTGTGGAGAGGGCGTGGCCTTGGAGATGGGTCTTGTGGGTGTGGCCTGTGGAGAGGGCGTGGCCTTGGAGAGGGGGTCTTGTGGGTGTGGCCTGTGAGGAGGGGTGGTTTATCTGGGCCCTGGTCCCCCGCCTGTGCTTACGGGTGGAAGGGGATGAAGTGCTGCTTCTCCTCGTCACTCTCCACCTTCCCCTTGATGATGTCGGTGATGTCCATGCCTGGGAAGGGAAGCGACGCGGACTGAGGGTCCCCCTCGCGCCCAGGAACGAACAGCATGGGCTGAGGTTACAGGATGGGGCAGAGGGCAAGGGGCACCTGGGGGTCAGCGAGCCAGCAAGAGGCCACACAGACGGCAGGCCTTGCCCACGGCTGGGCAGAGGCCAGAGGCAGGGTGGGGCAGGAGGCCACGGAGCGGAGCGTTAGGTGGGCAGGGAAAGCAAACACCCACGGTTCCTGCAAAACACTTGCCACGTGCCGTGACCCCCAGCCTTGCACGGACCGCCCCGCAGCGCAGAACCGCAGAGGATTCTGGGCCTCAGAGCCTCCTGCAGCCAGCCATGTGCACACCACCCAGGGGAAGGACGCTGCACGGAGCCGGGTGGCAGGGATGGAGGCAAAGGGGGTGGGGAAAGCTCAGCCGACAGCAGAAACACTTCAGAAACACCCCGCGCACTGGCCAGGGAGCCACTAAGCCCGCGTGATGGCAGGTCAGAGAGGAGCCGGGCAAGAGCAACGTGAGCCTGACCGCCCGGTGGTAACAGCCTGGGGGGGGGGCATGCAGAACCAGGGCATCTGTGAGCAGCGAGGGGGGGGGCTCAGGTCCAACCTCCTCACTTCATCCGCAGGGAAGCTAGGGCCCTGAGAAACACTGGCCCGGCTGCCCAGCAGCGATGGTGCCGGGTTACAGAGCCACCACGACTACGCAAGTCCTGCCGGCTGGGGAGCAAGGATTTGTGCCACCGAAGACTAGGGTACCTTGAGAACTGGCTTACATACAGGGCGGGACCCGGGGAATGACAATCGGTGCATGATTAAAAACGGATACCTTCATAAAAAAAGAGAGACTGGCATGTCAGACTGCCAGGTCACAGGTGCTCAGTGGCTGTTAAGAAAAATGCACCTTAAGGTGGGACCGTGTCAGGTTCGTGACGGCTGGAGGGAGCGTGAGGAAGTCTCGCAGTGGGGGCCCTGCACCCCGCACCCCGTGCCCCGCACCCCGCGTTTCCCGGCATCCGGTCCCATCTGGAATGCAGACGCCGGGTGGGTGACTCATTCTGTGTCGCTGCATTTCCTGTCCTGGATATTTCTCTCAGAATGATTTGCTCCTGGTAATTAGATCAGCCCTGGATTGCTCTTCCTTTTGGTCGCAGCTTTGGGGAGCAGAGGCTCCCACTGCTCAGACAGATCGCGCGTGACGCTCAGCTCCAGCCCCGAGACCCCATGGCCCCTCTCCACCCACAGCCACACCCGGCCACCTCTCCCCTCCATCCATCTGTCACCACAGACGTCCTTATGAAGGGGCGCTCTGCGTCTGTTCCTCGGGGCAGAAATCACCCTTCAACACCCGAGCAGATAAACCACGTGCTGCGCTCCTACCTGCCACCCCGCAGGGCCGCCTCAGGCCCTGGGTGCACTTCTTCGTACTGGTGTCTTTGAGATCCATCTTCCCGATCCGGACTATTTGGCAAATCAAGTAGATCTTATCCCTGTTGAGGTCTTTGTTTCCCAGATCCTGTGGGGCAGGGGGGGAAATAGTCATGCACACCGCACATTGAGTGGAGATGAAGAAAAGAACACCAGGAGCAGTCCTTGGAGGGGTACGCCTCTCACGGGGACGCCTGCCCCCCACATCACTGTCCCAGAAGAGGAGAGAGCAGGGGAAGACGTGAGGGGTGGAGACGCGGCACCGGTCATACGGGCGGATTCCCCACGGGCAAGGGGAGGTACCCCAAAACAGCACTGCTACAGACGGCGCCCCCCCCCAGAGACGGCAAGAAGGGAGGGCAGGTGGTATCAGCTAGTGCTCAGGGCACGCTGGGAGGGCTCGTGTGTCCGTGCAGGACACACCGGTGCACCGGCCGTCTCCAGACGGAGGCGTGGTCATGGCCGCACGGGGCGGCAGCGGGCACGGGGCGGCAGCGGGCACGGGGCAGCTGCCGTCCGCTGAGCGCTCGGCCTGCCCCACCACCCTTCCCTGCTCCTGTGTGGGGGACCCATGTTCATCAAGGTCGTGCGTGGGCTCCGACCGGCAACACGGAACAACTCAGGATGGGACTGGGGCCGTGTTGGGTTGTGTTCGAGATACGACCCCGGCCCGCGCCTCTGTCCTAATTCTTGGTGACACAGAATACCCATCAGCCCGGATCGCTGCACAGCGAGGCCGCTGCACTGAGCGGGCTGTGACCGGAGGTGATTGCAGAGCCAGGTGTGGCCATGATCGCGGTGGATCAACGCGGATCCAACCTGTCAGTTTAGGTCCCTGCCCAGCGGCTCCCTGGGTCTCTCCCCTGTGGTGCCAGCCCAAGTCCTGGCCAGGCCCTGCGCCTCTCCTTCCCCGAGCCTCTCCTTCCCCGAGCCTCTCCTTCCCCTGAGCCTCTCCTTCCCCGAGCCTCTCCTTCCCCTGAGCCTCTCCTTCCCCACACATCTCCCCAGCGCCGCCCGCCAGAGCTCAGAGGCCGAGCTGGCACCCAGAAATCCATCACTGAAATGGCAGCTGGCTTCAGTGCTGCCCGTGTACGGGGCTGCTGACCCTGCCACGCTCATGTGTGGGCCCATTTGCTAAGGCAGTCACTGTTCTAGAACAGTCCTGGTTCACCCGTGGATCACCTGGAAAAGCCAAGCGGCCCCTCCCGCCCCCAGCGCCGGGGTCCCTGCTCACGGAGATGCACACGCGTGTGCAGGTAGCACTGACCACAGCTTCTGGCCCAGGGGACAGACGGACACGGCCGGAGGACCGAGACAAGTGGCCCGGTCACGTGACCCCGCCAGCCCCCCCCCATCTCTGCCCAGCCCGGCCCTCAGCCGTGGGCGCGGCCTGCACGTGGCGGCCACGCCAGCTCACCGTGAACACCACCTTCAGGTTGTTGAGCATCTCGATCTCCTTCGGGAAGCCGTGGCTACCCCAGCGCACCAGGTAGTTCTCACTGCGGGGGGAAGGGGGGGAAGCGCCGGCGTTGGTGAGGGGAGCGAGGGGTGCGCACAAAACCCCACACCGCCTCCCAGGCCCAGCCCGCCCTCCTCCTGCCCAGGATGCCCCCAAAAGCCTTCCGCACCCCCCCCCAGGATGCTCTCCTCCTGCCCGCCGCCCAGCCAGGGAAGACAAAGATCTGGAATCTCCATTATCCTTCCACTGTGGGACCCTGGCCTGACTGACGTCAATTGGACATGGGAAAACTGAACGCAGCTGTGACTCCTCCCCCTCCCCTCCTCTCCCTCCCCACTTCCTGTCCTTCCCCTTCATCCTTCCCCCTCCCCCCTCCCTCTTCCTCCTTCCTTCTCCTCCTCCTCCTCCTATCCTTCTCCTTCCTTCTCCTCTTGCCCTTCCCCTTCCCCTTCCTTCCCCCTCATCCCCTTCCCCCTCCTCCCCTTCCTCCTCCTCCTTCCTCCTCCTCTGCCCCTCCTCCCCCTCCTCCCTCTGCTCCTCCCCCCTTGCCCCTCCTCTCCCAGCTCAGCCTCCCCGCCGGCACCCATGCCCCGGGGCGGCTCAGGGCGCAGAGCCTCGGTCCCCAGGCCTCCTGCAAGGCCGTGGCACGCCCACCTTATGACGGCCTGCTTGCTGGGGTCGTACAGCGACATGAAGAGCTCGGCGTCCTCCCCGATGCGGCACACAAAGTTGCGCACGAACACATAGAGGCTGTGGGTGGGCGAGGAGGAGAGCCGGGAGCACGCGCCGTAGTCGGCCTGGTCCCGGGACTGTGGGGGGGGGGGAGAGAATCAGACCGCGGGGCTGATGCCAGTGGAGACGCGCCCCGCGGCCCCCGCATCCGGCGCCCAGGACTTCCACCGCGCCACGTCCCCAAAGATGAACTCTACACGCTGCTCGTTGAAACCTTCATGAAGGGGTCTGGGCGGTAGCTCAGCAAGAGTGCACGCCCTGCGTGTGCAAGGGCCTGGGCTCAACCCTCCCTCCCTCCCTCCCTCCCTCCCACGCACATGCATGCACATACATGCAAAAGAAAAGAGTGGTGGAGAAAGGAAGAATAAAAGAAAGGCAGGAAGAAGGGAGGGAAGGAAGAAGGGAGAAAAGAAAAGCTGGGCACTGTGGTGCACATCTGTAATGCCAGCACTCAAACGGAGGCAAGAGCGTTGCAAGTTCAAGGCCAGCCTGGCCTACTTACTGCCTCAAAACTCTATGGACAGAAATATGCATTTTAAAAACAAACAAGCTGAACTGGCGAGGTGCCTCCGGGAGGAACTCGTAGGAGATCCGAACTCCTTTGGTCCTGTGGGACCCGGCCCTGCCTGGTGCCTCTCCACCCCGTCCACGACCCCTGCCCACCCCCCACCCCGACACACACACTGGATTTCCACACCATCACTGTTCAGAGCTCAGCTCTACCCCAGGGCCCTGGCATTCGCCCTTCCTGCCCCTGTTCTACCAGCCTTGGAGCTGCCCAGGCCGGTGCGTCCACGGAGACCGGATACCCTGCGTCTGCTCAGAGCAGACCTCTCCGGAATCAGAGGCCCCTCCCGGCCCTGCCGAGCCGGTGACCTGGGCAGACCCCGGTTCACATCACCTTCCCCATCGCCATCTGGAACCATGTGGAACTTACTCGCTCCCTGTCTTTACTTCACTACCAGCCTCTGGTCAAAGCCATGATTAGGGGCCAAGGTGGCCGGGCCCTGGGCCCCGGGCTGGCCCTGAGGGACGGCTGGCCACGGCAGGGGCTGCCCCGCCCGCGCCCACTCACCATCTCCTCCCTGATGCGCTCCGTGATCTTCTCCGTGGCCTCCTGGTGTGCGTGGAAGAGGCTGATGACGCTGGTGCGGCCAGGGTCCAGAGTGTTCCCGTCCTCATCCCTCACGGTCAGGTCCAGCTCCAGGATCCTGAGGGGCACGGGACGGGGAGGGGGAGACTGCTGAGCTCCCAGGGCCAAGGGGCCCGGGGAGGGCAGGGCGCGGGGCTGGTGGGCCCGGGGAGGGCCGGGCGCGGGG